GTGTGTGTGTGGAAATATTCAGTAAACAGAATATCCGAACTTGAAGAGGAAATTACAACTTTTCGATTAAAATGTATATCTTCGAGAAACAGGATGTGACGATGTGATATAAAGATGGCTCTCTCCTGGGTTGTAGCGCGGTGTAGTCTGGTAGAAGTTTACCGCCGTTTCAAAGGCCCTTTCTGCCTCCATCATCTGGGTGATGATACGACGCTACACAGCCCAGAAGACAGCCATCTTCGTATTCACCGCCGTGAGAACCTCAGATCTCACTATGTGGGAGATAAAAATTTAAAGCTATTTCTACGCTATGAAGACGTCGGTTAATGGAGGTACAGCTCCACGCGTTTTAACTCCGGCTCGTCATGTCCCCCCTCCTACCTGGACTGATTCGTTACAAACTGGATTTTTATTGGAGGGTGGGGTTGCTGATAGAACTGGTCGGGAGACAGTGGTGAAAGGACAGGTGTCTATTCCAGCCGGGAATCGAACTTCGATCGTTTGTCCCGTTCATAAGAATTGAAAAATCTTTGTCATCGGCCCAGTCGTGTGGCCGACCATAAGAAGAACCCTTTGAAGGCGATGAATGGGAAATGGGACAATGGGATGGCAGAGTTGTAAGACACGCTACGTATAACGGGGCGAAACATTAGTTTTTTCTCGGTGCTGGTATTGGTGCAATGTGCCCAGTGTGCTGTGGACTGTTTGGGCACAATGAATATTCTCGTGCATCGAAAGTATGGTAAGTCTACTGTTGTTGATTACTTTATTGAGTTTAGAGTTTATGGTTTTGTCTTTGTTTGTTTTGATGTATTATGAATGTCATACTCTTTTCGTTGAGTATGGAGATAATTGTATGAGAGATATAGCGTTGTTTTTTTTTGCGAAGAGTATATTTGTGAATGCGTGAAGAACTAAGCACTCATTTTGGAACGTTTTTGTGCTGTTTGTATTTGAAAATAATGATTTCGTTCATTAGCAGCGTTTGTGTTTTGTTTTCAGTTCTTGATTTGCTTATTGGTCTTTTTAATTTTATTTCACTGATAAAAAATACAAGCCTTTAAAATTTCAGATCGTATAATTCAATGCCCCTCCTTCGTCTGCCTTGTTGTGACCTGTTTTCTTTTTAATTTTGAAGGTAAACTGTAAAATTAATTTGTTTTTGTGTGTGGTGTTCAATACTTTTTTCAAATAAATCGAAATATTTCCACATTCTGTTCTGATTAAAATATAACGAAGGCTTTTACACTAATTAACTGCTTTAATTGATATGCTTTTGTTTACAGCCAATGACATTTGCAAATATTAAGTGTGTCTCATGACATCTGTGCAGTAATGCTTTCCAAAGGCTAATAATTCTTATTTTTTTAGGATTCAGCTTTGTATAGAAGTTGGCTTCATTTTGTTTTCATGACGATGATTAATGAATAGCTCACTATCTTTACTTGATGACAAAACGAAACTCGTTTCAAGATACGTGCTTATATTTTTTAATTATAAACGTATTTTTATTCATAACAAGTAACTGCTGGTTTGTGATCATTTGGCGATTAGGTATTTTGGGCCTTGTGGGTTAATATTTATGAATGTGTGTGTGTCGTTATAACCGTTGCTATGGTAATGCTGTTAAGGGATATGACTCTAGTTACCAGACAACAATTTCCTCGCCAGACACGTCCTGTTGGCAGGTCTTAGAATCTTAGAACGTGTCGAAACAGTCGAATTGATACAAAGCGATCGACCATTCACGGTGATGAATAAAAACAAGTGGCTGAATATATTTTGTTGTAATCGTTTCTCTGCACCGACTCGAGAACGACTGTACTGAATTTGATATTAGGAGGTAACGATGGAAAGTATCGACTAGTTAAAATGTCTCGAGGCGTTCAGTGGGATATTTCTGCCCTTCGTAAGTGACAGTAATGTATCCCTTTAAACAGACATCTCTCTAAGTGTTCTCCAAACTAATCCATAACTATTGAAAATCGATCATAAGTATGACGTCAATCGTTAATGACGTCAGAATTCAACCACGAATATAGAACAATGAATCAGGGTTTTGTTCACATTATGATTCTGCAGTTTGCATTTGTGACCATCAAATATTGATACGATTCGTTTATAAATAATGTCCCTGGCAATATTGCTGGATGGTATTTGCCTACAAAAGTAATGTGCCACGTACTTGAAAGAAGCAGATTAAATTATAAGTGGAACCGAAAAGAATGAATGATGAGTGCGCATTAGGTACAGTTGCACTCCAGAGTCGACACAATCGACATGTTTATGTGCAAATCGTAGTGAGATGTAAAAGAGTTGTTAAGTCATCATTTAGTTATATTTTCCCCAGATCACAATACACCGTCATAACTCCGTAACTGTCATTAAATTTAGTTATATTTCTAGACTGTACATGTAATGTTTAACGCTTTAAGATCCAGTGGTAATTATATGTACCGCCTGCTTTAATAGTGAGAAGTTCAGCTCCGTTTGGTTTTCAACTTAAACAGCGTTTACTAGTTATCGATGTAATGGTGAAGTGTAGTGTTTACTTCGCGGTACGAACTGAATGTTTAAATGTTATCGGGGTTGTGATTTTGGCTGCAAGCTTCTCATGCAGCCGACATCACGTGCAATTAAGGTGTGTTTACGATGAAGGGACCATTTCGTTCTACACAGCGATTTGCTATGAGACAGCAACAATCTGTTAGCCAGACTTTAACACCCTCACACTTCAGATAACCAACCACTGGCCTTTGTCTGGATAAACCCAAAATGCTCAAAAGAAGAATCTTGAAAGTGGGTCAGCTGGTCCAGAAGTCGCGATGAGGGGAATTTAAGTATTATTAAATGTCCCAATAGTGGCACCACTGTGCTAAGATATTATTATTATTATTATTGCGCTTTTGTGTTATGTATTAGAACATGTGCTCCTAATATAATAACCTATATCCGTCAGGCTTGACTGTACGAAGTCTCCGTTAGTGCTATGTGAAAAGAAAAAAAATGAAACTTAATTTTGACGTTGGCGACTCTGGTAGCAAGAAATACATACGAGACTCTAGTGGGGTCTCGTGGTCTGGAGTCAAGGTGTTG